GGAGATTTCCTCTTTTATATTAAAAAAAAAAAAAAAAAAAAAAAAAAAGAAAGAAAAGAAAAGAAAAAAAAAAAAGCCCAAATAAAATTATTTTAATTTCCCAGGAGACTGAATTTCCATCTTTTCTTCATCTTTGAGTCCTGCGGTTTCAGGGATAATCCAGAGCTTGATGGGATTTTTTTGGGAGCTGCTCCAGTCTCCTGGTCCCAGTTTTCCTGCCAAACAGAGAGTTCTTTATCACTTTTGCTTGGATTTTGATTTCTTTGGCTCATGGGATGAGTTTCCTCCTTGGGAGCTTCGCCCTGAGCTGATTTCTGGTGCTGAAAACTTCCTGGCAAGTTTTCCATGGCTGCTCCAGGAATGCTTCCTCATCTTCTGAGCAAGCGTTATTTAATTACTCTGCAGTGGGGCTGTTCCTGCATTTTAATGGCAGCTGGATCCCTCTGCACCTCCTCATCCTGATTTTCCTGGCTTTTTCCTGTGGGAGATGTGGAATAGCTGCAGAATTACACAGCACTAAGCAGGAAAACAATCAGGTCTAAGCAGGATCCGGGGTCTCTGTCCCTCCTCTGTGCCTCTTTCCTCTGCAGGGATTTTTCCAGCAAGGAAACTCCTGAGGAGCAGCCATGGGAAGCCTTGGGATGGGGCTCCAAGGCTGGTGCCCCACTGAGGCCTTTTCCACAGGGAAATGGGGACAGCAAGGAGCAGGAATAAGGGAAGGGCAGGAAATCCTCTGGAGAAGCAGGGGAAGCTTTGGCCTTGGCCTGGTGAGGCAAATCCCAGGAAAGCAGGGCTGTTGAGCACTAATAAAATGCCTTGGAAAAGCTCCCAAACCAGTTTCATTTCCCTGCAGATTTCAGCAGGGAGATGATGGGGGTTCATTATTACCCATAATAAGTTTTCCTTATGTAGGCAAAGTCCCAGTGGATTTTCTGGGTGTTAATAAAGCAGGATGAAGTGATCCAGTCCCTTCCATGCAGACAGCAAATCCCTCTGTCCCCTCTCCTGAAGGGCTCCATCCATCATGCCCAGAGCTGCCCGCAGCCACAGGGGCCCTGCTCCTGCTGGGCTTCCCCTCCTGCCTGCAGGTGCTGCTGAGAATTTGGGAATGTTCTGGAAATTTCTGTTCCCTGTCCATTCCCATGGCCCAGTTTGGGCTCAGTGGGTTCTCCTTCCCCACCTCAGAGCCTTTTCCTGCCCTTCTGAATCACATCCAGGCTTTTCCCTTTAACACAAAGTTCTGCCCTGATTTAGAGTTCCCAGAAAATCCATTGACCCTGATCTTCATCTCCCAGTAATTGGAAAAGAGACATAAATCAAACTAATTGCAGAAGAGTTAAAAATGGCTTTGTTTGCCACAGCTCAGGCTGCAGACTGCTGCTGGGAGAACATTGGGATCAATGAAATCCCCGGATGTGCCAGAGCAGAGCAGGGACCCTTTCCTCCTCCTGGCCGCTCCAGGAACGAGTCTGATCCCGTTCTCTTTGGACATGAGAATAAACAGTTCCAAGGTGCTGGAACATTCCAGGGATTTGCTCCTAAACCATTCCTGCTCTGGCTGTGGCCCAAGTGGCACCGTGGAGAGGGATCCTGGAATGCTTTGTGTGGAAAGGGATCCTAAAGCTCATCCCATCCCACCCCTGCCATGGCAGGGACACCTCCACCATCCCAGGCTGCTCCCAGCCCCAGTGTCCAGCCTGGCCTTGGGCACTACCAGGGATCCAGGGGCAGCCCCAGCTGCTCTGGGCACCCTGTACCAGGTCTGCCCACCCTGCCAGGGAACAATTCCTAATTCCCAATATCCCATCCAGCCCTGCCCTCTGGCAGTGGCAGCCATTCCCTGTGTCCTGTCCCTCCATCCTTGTCCCCAGTCCCTCTCCAGCTCTCCTGGAGCCCCTTCAGGCCTTGCAAGGGGCTCTGAGCTCTCCCTGGAGCCTTCATTTCCCCAGGTGAGCACCCCCAGCTCTCCCAGCCCGGCTCCAGAGGGGCAGAGAAGGACCCAAACAAACCCAGTTTTTCCTCTGTCACCTCCATCCCACCTGGAGCCCCTTCAGGCCTTGCAAGGGGCTCTGAGCTCTCCCTGGAGCCTTCTCCTCTCCAGGTGAGCCGCCCCAGCTCTCCCAGCCCGGCTCCAGGGCAGAGAAGGACCCAAACAAACCCAATTTTTCCTATGTCACCTCCATCCCCTTCCCACCCTGCTGCCTTGGGATGACTCCAGGTGCCAGGGAGAAACGTCCTTGAGGAAGAGTCTGAGTGGATAAAATGCTGTGAACCCAAAATTGCTGCCCCCGAGCCCCAGCCCCAACTTTTCCTTTCAAGGATGGATTTTCCTGCAGGCAGCTGGAGCTTTCTGGAGCTTGGAAAAGGGACAGGAATCCACAGGCAGCCCTAAAACAGAGATAGGAGATAAGAGATAAGAGGCAGGCGTTTGGCTCTGGTGGAGCTGTTTGGAAACAGAGATATTATCCTGGGGGATCCTTCAGGAAAGATCAGAATTCCTTTTCCTATTCCATGTGCCCGTGTCTCCCCTCCCTGGAGCAGCTCCAGCCTTTCCTGCCGGTTTAAAATAAAATCTAATCCATTTCCAATCCCCGCCGCCGGCCATTAGGGCTCTCTGAGCACGGTTATTATCGCGCTCGGCTGGCAGAGCATCCCGAAGGATTTAACTCCTAGCACCCCCAGCGGGAGCATCCCGGGAGCATCCCGGGATCCTTGGAGCAGCTGCGGCCAAGGGCTGCGGGAGCCCAGGGACGTCCTGTCCCCTCTCCCAGAGCTGCCATGAGCGGAGAGGCTGCAAATGTGCTGCTTGCAGGGAGGTTTTGTCCGAAACGCCCCAAAAAGAAGGAAAAATTGGGTTTTATTCCATTAGGAAAAGCAGAGCTCCTAAAGGGAGCAGAGGATCCAGCCCGTGGCCGTTTGGGGGGGTTTCTCCTAAGCCAGCAGATTGGGAAGCTCAAATCTGCTCCTGAAATTCATTCAGATCAGGAAGAAATAAAAAATTTTCCTTTTTCCTGCATGAAAATTCCACCAAATCCAAATACTGCACAGCCAAGTGAGGCCACCACTTCTCTCCCTAAGGAATATCCCAATTCCTCTGTGGGATCCTGTGCAAGGAGCTCTGAGCTGCTGGGAATCCACAGCTTGGAATCCACGGGTGAATCCAGAGGGAAGCAGCTGAGGCCATGCTTGGAAAGCAAAACTCCTCCAGCTTTCCTGCAGGGATTTCGTTGGAAGGGGTTTTTCTTTCCCCACAAATCCCAAGGGAAATAAAATCCTTCTTGTTTCCTTTGCTGGACAATTCCTGCTCATTATTATTTAGGCCATGTTTAAATTATTCTGTCTGCAGCAGCCGATGGCATTTGCTGCGTGCCATGCAATGTTCCAGGTAATTAATTGGTGTTTAATTAATTAAGGAATAATGACATTCAATTAAGGGAACACTGTCACTGGGTAATTAATGGCTTCCTGCTGCTCCAGGAAAGCCGAGGTGTTTGTGGGAAATCAATCCAGGGGAAGTGAGGGGTTCATTCCCCTGGGAAGGAGCTGTGTCCTGGGGATCTCCCATTCCTGCCCCTCCCAGGAACAAATTCATGGAAGAAAGCTCTGCATGGGCCTGTCAGGAGCTGTTCCCAAACCTTCAGCAATGGGAAGCACAAGGGGAAATCTCTGGGAAGGAGGAGAAGACGCCTGGTGTTCCCAGCATCACACAGAGCAGGAATTCCCGACTGCCAACCCCCTGCCCAGGGGTGTGCCAGGCTCTGCCTAAACTCGGGATTCCCCTCCCTGATGTCAGGATCAAAGCCTGGGACCAAATGGGGCTCTGTGTCCTCTTGGCTTTGGAAGGGAGCACTCGGAAAAGAGGAATTTCCTGGGATGTGAAGATAAATGAGAAAAAATTCCCCAAATCAGAGGGAACCGAGCCCCATTCTGAGCGAAGCGGACGAATGTCGAAGGATGAACAGGAAGGAGTCGCTTCCCCGCTGCTCCTGCCCGTGGATGAGCCCTGGGTGTTGTGACCATCCCAGGCTCCTCCGGCAGCACCTGCGGGGGTCCAGCGGCACCGGGCCCTGGGGAGGGGCAGCCTGAGGGATCCTGCTGATCCTGCAGAGGAGGAGATCATCCAAGGAAGAGTCCAAACTATTCCACAGCTCCTCTCCAAGTGCCAGTTGTGTTGGCTGCTGCCCAGTTAAGGATTTATAAATTTAATTTTAATTTTCGCTGCATTTTGGAGAGTGTGCAGCTCTCAGGCGCTAAAATGCTTTAGAGTTCAGCGTTTGTCACTTTCAGGCACCACGGGCACCACCCAGGAAGGAATCAGAAGGAATTCCAAGGACTTCTGCCAGGAGCATCCTCCTCCATTCCAAAATCCAGGCTGTCCCTGCAGAGCTGCCCCTTGCAGCTGGAGGCTGACGCAGGCAGGGAGAGCCTGGAGCGTGTCCCTGGATTGGAGAAGCTGTAATTCCCAAATCCTGAGGAGAACAGGGCTGCCTGCAAGTGCCAGACCCAGCTGGGAATGTTTGCCAGCTCCTTTTGGCACTGGCAGTGCCTCTGCAGCTCGTTCTGCTGAGGAGCCTCCAGAGAGCCATGGACAGATTCCAGCTCCAACTGCAGCTCTGGCTCAGCCCCTTCCCTGCTCCCTGAGCTCCTGTCTGCCTGTCTCCTGGGAACTGGGGGTCCTGTGCAGGGAATGGTGCAGGATTAGAGCCTTTTCCTGTCTGCCAGCTCTGCCCAGGGTCATCTCACACTGCTGTGCTCTCCATGTCCTGTGAACACTTCCCCAAACATTTCCCCAAACACTTCCTTAAACACTTCCCCAAACACTTCCCCAAACACTTTACTGACCTGGCTCCATATGGAGGGAATAAAAATGTAGATCTGGTCTCCCCCTCCATAGCCCCAAACCCAAGCAATTCAGGGAACTCCATCTCCCAGCCACTTGTAGGGTTCTGAAGAGCCAAATTCCCACCTCTGCCCCGAAGCCATGAGGAGACCGGAGCTCATTTCGGACACCGACTCGATTTTATTGTTTGAAATGCCAGGGAAACTCAGTCTCAGAAACGTGGGAATTTCTGCTGGTGCTGAACACCACCCTGGACATCCTTCCTTGTCCTACCCCCTCCAGCTGTGCCTGTGCCCCTGAGGCCGTGGAGCATCCCCTCCATGGTCGTGGTGGGGACAGGCTTGTGACCCTTTCAACATCCGGATGGGCTTCACGGGCCGCCTCTGCTCCTCGTTTTGGGAGCGTGGAGGAGCCGTGCCGCTGCTGGAACAGCCCCCACCAGCCTGGAGAGATCGCTCCCTGCAGCGGGAGCCGGCGCTGCTCTCAGAGCTGGTACTTCCTCAGCAGCTCGCTCTGCCACTGCCGCTTTTTGTTGGGAAAGGCGGCCGGGATCCTGATCCTGCGGAACTCCTCGATGCACTTGCCCAGCTCGGACTGCAGGGCCCGGCGCTCCTCGCTGCTGGCCGTGCCGGTGGCCGTGCCGGTGGCCGTGGCCGTGCCGGTGGCGGTGGTGGCCGTGGTGGCCTCCAGGCCGTTCTCCCGGACCGCTGCCCGGTCCCTGCCCCGCCGCTGCCCCGCCTGCTTCCCCTCCTCCAGCCTCTTCAGGGAGCGGCACAAGTCCAGGGTGCTGGGCCGGGCTGGGCACTCCTCGGGAGCTTCTGGCCACGGCTGGGACTCGCTGGGGCTGGGAACCTTCCCCTCCGGCTGAGCGACCCTGCCGGGGACGGGCTCCGAGCGGGGGGCCGGGACGGGCTCCGAGGATGGGGCAGGGATGGGCTCCGAGGATGGGGCCGGGATGGGCTCCGAGGATGAGGCAGGGATGGGCTCCGAGGATGGGGCCGGGATGGGCTCCGAGGATGGGGCCGGGATGGGCTCCGAGGATGGGGCAGGGATGGGCTCCGAGGATGGGGCCGGGATGGGCTCCGAGGATGGGGCCGGGATGGGCTCCGAGGATGGGGCAGGGATGGGCTCTGAGGATGGGGCAGGGATGGGCTCCCCGGGGCCGGCAGGTCCCGCCGCGCCACCCGGGTCAGCCGGGTCCTGTCGCCTCCCGGGGCTCTCCCTCGGCTCCGCAGCGTCCGCGAGGGCTGGGAGGGAAAGCAGAGAGGAGTGTGAGGAGCGACATGAGGGAGGTGAGAGACCTGCTGGGAATTATTTTTAAAATACACCTGGTGGCAGAGATAGAAAACTAGGAATGAACTATTCCTATTTAAAATCCCCCACCCTACACCTCGTCCCCTGCACATAAGCAGAAAATGTCAAGAGGAATCTTCTTTTTCCTTGAAGACTTTTGTAAGGACAGAGTTGGAATTCCCCCCCCCCCGCCCCCCCCCTTTTCCTTCCTCTTATTTTTTTTCCCAGTTTGACATTTGCTGAGCAGCTCCAGCTCTGCAGTTGCTGGAGGTGGAAGCAGGAATGTCATCCACCAGCGAGCAGAACCCTCGAAGGATGGATTTTCTTTGGCAAATCTCTCCGGGAAGTTACAGGAATGAATCTTTGCCCCAAATTCTTTGAGTGATGGGATGAAGCCTCAAAGCTGCTTTAATCATCTTATCTGTGAACCTGGGAGCTGCTTTTGGGAAATGTGGAGCTGAGGCTGGGAAATTTAAGCACCCAAATATCCAGGAGGAGCCTCCGGCTGAGCTGGAGAATGAATTCAAATCCTTCAGTTCCTCTCCAGCATCTCAGCTCCCAGAGCATCCCATGACTGTGGCTGCTTCAGGATAACATTTATTTTTCAAAGTTTTCCATTTTACATCCCATTATTCCTGTCTGAGGCACTGTTCAGGTCACCAGACTGAGAGCAAATCCAGATTTCCAGGGAATGGCTCCTGAATATTCCTCCTATCCCACAAGCCTGATGTTCTTTGGGTAGTCTGCCTGGGCTGGTGCCAGGCTACAAACTCACATCCCTACAAATTGCCTGCTCCTAATCTCAGAATCCTGGAATGGTTTGGGTGGGACGGGAAGAAAAGCACATCCCATCCTACCCCTGCCATGGCAGGGACACCTTCCCCTGTCCCAGGCTGCTCCCAGCCCCAGTGTCCAGCCTGGCCTTGGGCACTGCCAGGATCCAGGGGCAGCCACAGCTGCTCTGGGCACCCTGTGCCGGGGCCTGCCCACCCTCACAGGGAACAATTCCTGCCCAATATCCCATCCATCCCTGCCCTCTGGCAGTGGGAGCCATTCCCTGTGTCCTGTCCCTCCATGCCTTGTCCCTGGTCATTCTCCAGCTCTCCAGGAGCCTCTTCAGGCCCTGGCAGGGGCTCTGAGCTCTCCCTGGAGCCTTCTCCTCTCCAGGTGAGCACCCCCAGCTCTCCCAGTCCAGCTCCAGAGGGGCTCCTGCCCTGGAGCAGCTCTGTGATCTCCTCTTTCCTGTAGCTTTGGACAAGCATCCCGTTTTCCTCCTCAGGTTTATCCTTCCTCACATTTGAGCCCACCTGGCACTAAGGGGGTGTGACCCCTGGGTGATCCAAGGACACCCCACAGCCCTGAGTGTCCCTCCAGCTGCTGTGCTGGGAAAAGGGACCGGCCTGGCTCATTGCTCTGATCTTTTCTCCCACAGATTTTCCTTCCCCGGTGCCACTTGTGCTTTAGAGCTCCAATTAAATTCAGCAGCGACACTTCCGAGCAGCCCCGCGGAGCCGCTGGAATCCTGCTGGGGGCAATTACCGGCTCCTGGCGGGGATTTTGCGGGAAGCACACAGTGTCCCCGCCCCGGGAAGCACACAGTGTCCCCACCCCGCGGCTCCGGGACAGCGCTGGGTTATTCCAGGGGCTGTGGCAGGGACAGGAGCTCGGGCCCGTGCTCACAGCTGCATCTGCTGCTCTCCCACGCTGCCTCCATCCCCAGGGATGTTGGAAGGTCCCGGCATAGATGGGGGGGAATAGGAAGTTCCTGGGTGATCCCAAATGAGGGATCTTAAAATTCCTTCCAGCCTCTTAAACTTGGGTGATATGGGCAAAAAAAGGACGGATAAAAGTTTCCAAATGAGCTGGAAGAGCACGCTGGGTTTGGGAAGTTAGTACCAGGGTGCATCCAGAGCATCCCCAGGGTGTATCCTCAACATCCCAGTGCCCAATCCAAACCAGCTGTTCCCATGCCAGCTACTGGATCCCATCATCTCAGGACTTGACTCTGCATGAATTGTTCTGTTTTGTGGGATTAATCCAGCTGGGAACAGCACTGGGAGCTTCCCGTGCAGCTGGGCCGATGTGCTCTGGTACCCAGGCCCTGGCACAGGGCCCTGGCAGTGCCAGTGGTGCCAGCTGGATCCCCAGGGAATCCTGATCCCTTGGCAGGGGCACCAAGCTCAGATGCAGAGAGTTGTTGGAGCTCCAGGCTCATGACACAGATGGCAGAAAACCCAGCTCGACTCTCCCTGGATTCTCCTTTTGTAATCCATTCCTGCTGTTGGAAAAGCTCAGCAAAGAAGCTGGGAAAAAAATTCCAAACAGCAAAAGGCATCTCCTGAAAGACCTTGGAGCCCTGGGAAGGAAGGGCCTTCCTGGGAAGGAAAATATGGAATAATCCACATTGTCCTCTGTCAAACAGGAGCTGCCAGGAGGAGGGAAGGTGGAGTCAGGGATTTCAGGGATTGTTCTGAGGGTTGGGTTCCTTGGAGGGGAGGTGCAGCTCCCTGGGCTGGAGGAGAGCTGGACACTGGTACCTGCTGGTGTCGGTTCCGTGTGTTCCAGGGATTGTCCACCCCCTGCAGTGTCCCGTGGTGGGCAGGAGCTCTGCTCCCCTCTTCCTCCCAGGTTGTCTGTGAGAAAAAGATTGGGAATTGCATAAATTATGGAGATGTGCTCACAAACATCACCCTGTGAGTATGGAGCTCACAATTCCATCTTTTATAGAAATCTTGGAGTCCTGGAATGATTTGGGTTGGGAGGGACCTTAAAGCTCATCCCATCCCACCCCTGCCCTGGGCAGGGACATTTTCCCCTGTCCCAGGCTGCTCCCAGCCCCAGTGTCCAGCCTGGCCTTGGGCACTGCCAGGATCCAGGGGCAGCCACAGCTGCTCTGGGAATGTGTGCCAGTTTTATAAGGATGTTCGACTTTGCGGGATCTCAGTCCATGTAGGGATAATGTGATTGCAGGAAATGCCCTGGAGATCCTTCATCTAAATTAAATCAGTGTTTGCTGAGTGCTTGTGGATATCCACAGGCTGCAGGAATGGCTGGAATGTGGGAATGCCTCCAGCCTGGAATCAAGTCTGCATTGCCTCATCCCTGGCAGCATCCCAGGCCAGGCTGGACAGGGCCTGGAGCAGCCTGGGACAGTGGAAGGGGTCCCTGCCCATGGCAGGGGGGATTAGGTGACCTTTAAAGTCCCTTCCAACCCAAGCCACTCTGGGATTCTGTTCCATGACTCCTGAGCATGGGATGTTGCACAATTCCGACCTTTTTAGCCTTTAAATCCGCGTGTCTGTCGGGACTGACAGATGGAGATCTAACTCCAGCCACCTTTTGTTATCCAGGACTTCAATCCCTTGGAGCTGGAACAAACCTCTCCAAGGTTTTTGTGCCTTTAATTCCCGGCCAGCTCCCGCCGGGATCTAAATCAGCCCTCGCCACTCCGCCCCCCGAGCGAGCCGATATCCATCAGCACCTCATTACTGTTCCTGTCCATCCCACAGCGCCTTTCATCTCCAATTCCTCCTGATTTTCCTGATTTCCTGCCCTCCCTGGAGCTGACGGGGCCCACGCCCAAGAGCTGAGAGGGGAGCAGTGTCTGGGGCTGAAATTTTGGCTGCCTTCATCACAGTTGATTCCTGCAATTCAATCCATCCCCTGTGCAGCTGTTCTTGTTTCCAAAACATTCCCTTTTTTGTTTTTTTTGGGGACCTCTGCCATCAGTTTTAGGCGGTTTCCTGTGGATCTGTGCAGTCCAAGTATTTTTTCCTGCTTATTTTTATCCATATATGTAAAATAGACACATTTAGCAGTGGATATTCCCTGTCACTGATTAATTTAACATCTGCTCCAGTTCTGGCATTCCCGGGAAAACAGAGAAAAAGAACTACAAATCCCATCTCCAAAGGTCTCCCAAATTCTCTCTCTGAGGGTCTCCCAATCCCCTCTCCAACGGTCTCCCAACTCTCTCTGTCCTCTCTCCATGGGCAGAAGTTTTGCTTTTCCCAGAGCTGGGATGCTGCAGCTCCTTGCCCAATCCTTTGGGATAACATGGATGGGATGAGCAGGAGGAGCCGTGGGGCTCCTCTGAAAGTGCAGCCAGCAGAGGGAGAGTGAAGGACAGCAGCTGTCCCAGCCAGGGCTTTGCGTGGTTCCCTCTGGCTTTTCCAGAGCAGCCCCTCCAGCTCGATGGCCGGGTGGGAATTGTGGTGGATTCGGACACCGGAGGTCGGATCCCGTGACGGCGCAGAGGCCTGGGCTGGTGGAGCCAGCGGAGCCATCCTGCTTGGCACCAGCAGAACATCTGGCTGGGGCGCGGGGCTTGGCACCACCTGCAGCAAAAGCAGCTTTCCCTCCTTGCCCAGCCGATCCCTCTGGATAACCCTTTATTCCCCAAAAAGTTTTTCCAGGCCTGGCACAGCTGCCCAGGGCAGGGATGGTGTCCCCATTCCTGGAGGGGTTTAAAATCCCTGGGGATATGGCATTTGGGCACATCGGGTATTGCCACACTTGGGAATGGCTGGGCTATGATCTTAGGGGTCTTTTCCCACAGAAATAATTCCATAATTCCAAGACCTGCCTGTTTACTGGGATTAGTGATCCATAGTGTGGATGGCAAAGCTTTGCCAAGAATTCTTCCAAGAGGAGCAGCTCCTGGTGAGCCTGAACTGCATCCATCCTGGAAGTGCTGATCCCACCTGGAATTGCTGATCCCCACCTGGAAGTGCTGATCTCACCTGGAATTGCTGATCCCCACCTGGAACTGCTGATCCCACCTGGAATTGCTGATCCCCACCCGGAATTGTTGATCCCCACCCGGAATTGCTGATCCCCACCCGGAATTGCTGATCCCACCTGGAAGTGCTGATCCCCACCTGGAATTGCTGATCCCCCCCTGGAATTGCTGATCCCCACCTGGAATTGCTTCTGCCGTGTCTCCCTTGCGGTCCAGGATGGGCTCGGAGGAGGACATGGGTTTTTTGGGGCTCTGCTCCGGTTCCGAAGGCTCGGGAATGGGAAGGCTGAGCCAGGAGCTTCCTAAAAATTTTCCCAAAGGAGAAAATCTTAGAAGGGAAATGATGCACAGGGAATATGGGAAGAGTGGTGGAAGGGAATGGAATCCAAAGCATCTCCCAGAGTGCCTCGCTGGCTTCCCAGAGTGAGGAATGATCAGGAAAACTCCCAGTGCCTCCCAAACCGTTCTTGGGGTGATTCCTGACCTTCCTGCCTGTAACCACATCCCACATTTTCCACCAGGAATGTTCCTTACTTTGGTCCTTACTTTGCTCCTGCTCTCCTGCCTTTTTCCTAAACCTTTCTATCCCTGCTTTTCCCTATATTGCCTCATTTCCATGGATTTACAAACAGGGAGGAATACAAAGTGTTTATCCTGAGATTAGTGCTTCAGATTTCCATCATTTTCTTCTCTGACATTTCCACACAGACTCTTCCATTTGCCACACAGCCTGGATGAGCCTCTGGATCCAGCTGCAGTTCCTGCCCCATCCAAGGGATTTGCCTCTCCATGACTGAGTGTCAGAGCGGGATCATCCCATTGGCACAGAGAGCACAAATTGCCTGGATGCTCCAGTTCCACGGCTCTTCCCACCAGGCAGACCGGGAATCATGGAATCATCACCCAGAAAGATCACTCAGGACACTTCCACTGTCCTCTCCAGCCTGGCCTTGGGCACTTCCACGTATCCAGGGGCAGCCACAGCTGCTCTGGGCACCTGTGCCAGGGCCTGCCCACCCTCACAGCCAGGAATTCCTTCCCAGTATCCCACCTAACTCTGCTATTCCAGGGGTGGATGAAGACTTTCACCAAGGCCACCCTGATGTGGGATAAAGGCAATCCTGCTCCGTCTGGCCATGGGAAGCAGGAGATGGTTCTGGGTGTTCCAGCTCCCAAAATCCCCAGAGCTGAGCAGGATTCTGTGTTTAGTGGTTTCCAGAATCCAGGAGAGCAGGAATTTGCCCAGAGACAGCCTGGCCAGGCTGGACCTCCAGGATCCATTTGATCCAGAAGAAGGTGCAGCCCCCAGGAGATGGCAGCAGGATCCCAGCACGCCCTGTGGCCATGGCCTCCCTCATTAACTGTGGATCCTGAGACAATTCCTGGCTCCTCCCAGGCTCTAACCAGGGTGTCCTGCTTCCCGGGACCACCAGCCTCATCCAGAGGCTCTGAGGTCACCGCCAGTGCAGCTGGAAAGGTTCCATTCCTAATTCCAATTAATATCCCAGAGCGGCTGCTTTTGCACCCAAGTCCCGAAGTCCTGGAGGAGGGAATCTGAGCTGAGCTCCATTCCAGTGGGGCATTCCAAAACCTTTCGGGCAGAACAACACCTAGACAGGACACGGGGACGTGGCTTGGGATGGAATTCCTGGCACACAAGTGGAAGGGGAAAGATTTTCTGTGGAATAAGAGCAATGCTGAATTTCATTCATTTCATTTGCACAGCTGAGCTTCTCCAGGTGTTCCCAAATATTCCAGCAGAGCTCCAGGGCCCTGGATTCCCACTTCCACGTGCTGACCTGCAGCCTGTGCTTATTAAAGATTTAAAGGCCAAGCTGTCAGCGCTGCTCTGGGGATGGACTTTTCCTCTTATAGCTCTAATTCTAATAGGATTGGGAAGAGGAGGCGGAGGCTGGAGCAGTGCCAGGAGCCGAGGGAGGGTTTGCTCCTTCCAAAGGCTTTGCACACCTTGGCAGAGCTTTCTGGAAGTTTGTTCCTCTTCCAGCACCTCCCGTTGGCTCTCTGGGATTTTGGGTTAATCCCTGGGACAGTGGGAGCAGAGGAGCTGCTCTGTCCTGGTTTTCCCTCATCCCAGGGATATAAAAACCCCCTCCATGTGCTGGCTGTCCTTGCTCTGCTCCGCTGGAAAAGCTGCATTAATCCCAATTTATTTCAGATTTCAGATGGGCACTTGCTGCTTCCCAGGATTTGGGAAGATTTCAAAACCACTGGAAAGCATTGGCTCAACTCCACTTCCGGCCTCAAATCCATGTTGTCCAACAAACACCCCGGCTCTGGGAACATTCCATGGATGTGGTGAAGGGGTGGAAGCCACCGAGGAGCCACCAAGAGCCGGGACCCTCAGGAATCACAGCCATTGCTGAAACCCAAATGCTTGGGATGCTTCCTCCCCCCTCCCAGGTTTCCCCCAGGACATCCTTCTCCATGGATTTACCTGGAAGGCTGCAGTGCCTGGAGAGCTGCCTGGAGAGCTGGCCTCGCACAACAGGACCTGGAAACAAAGGAGAAGGTTTGGATCTGGATCCGTGCTCCGAGATCACGGAATTCTGGTGATCTCCCTCCACACCTACACACCCACGTGCGGGTCTGGATCCTGCTCCAAAATAATGGAATTCTGCTCTTCCACATCCACGCCCCCACTAGAGAGGGATGCAAGGAAAACGAGCGCCGTGGTTGTGTCCCATGAAAAATCATTCCCAGGGATTTTCCCCTTGGATGTGCCATGAGCCCAGCCAGGTCTTATTTTCCAAAATATTTGGGCTCCTCCCAACATTTCCTGCCTTTTGGAAGTTGTGAATCCATGGGAAAGTTCTCCAGCTCAACCCCATCCCAATTTCAGCAAAAGTTGCCCCTGCCTCAGCAAAAACTGAGGAATGGTTGGAAAGGGAATGGTTGGAAAGGGAATTTTGATCCCAGGTGTCCTGTAGGAACAGGGCCAAAGCAGTGTCCTGGTGCATCCCCTTCCCAAGGATTTGGGATCAGATCAAGCCTGGGCATCACAGCAGCCCGAGGTTTTTCCACTGGAGAAGAGAAGGAGCCACCCTGGTGCTCCTTGGAAGGCTGAGGGATATTCCCTGCTCTCCATCCCGGAAATCCTCAGCTGCGAAATGGGATCAACAACCTGTTTTCCACTCTCAGGGAAGAGGGGAAGTCTGGAGTCATTCCCAAATGCTTTATTAATTCCATGGCTTTTGCTGGAAGCAAAGGGGGCTGGAATGAGGCAATTCTGCCTGGCTGGAGCCGGTTGCTATTGGAGTTTTTCCTGGAAACCCATTAACACAATGTGGGGAGGGAGGTGAAAATTACCCTTAATACTGAAATATTGTTGGAAAGGGGGAAATTGAGATATTCCATGTAGGAGATGAAGGAAAAAAACACATTTTTTTAATAAAAAAGGGATTTCTGCACTATTTCCATCCCTTCCTGAGAAATTTGCACCTGGTTCTAATTAACCCTAAAGCTTCATTAATGATCAGTTTGGCACCAGTCATAATTAATCACAAATGTGCATTTTTCCATGGAATGAAAGGTTTACCTGAGCACATTTGCAAATTACATTTAGGAATTGTGGCTGTGTGTTAATTAAACTGAAATCATAATTAAAAGCAGAATTAAAACCCTTCTAATAAACATGGGGGGAAAATGCTTTGGTTTTATGCTCAGTCCACAAATTTGTGGCTAATGGAGAGCAGTTATTCCATTTTCCTGAGGGCTCTTGGATAAAGGCCATCCAAGAGGCTTTTAAGGAAACTGTGGAGCCAAGGGGGGATTGTTGAACTTCCAGCATGGATTAAAAGCTTATTAAGGGAGAGAAAAGGAGAGATGGAATCAAGAGTTTGCTCCCAACATATAAATAATGGAATAATGGGATGTTCCCAAGAGGCCAGCTTGGGATGAAGGGCTTTTATTACCCGGGAAAGGGGAAACAGCCAAGAGGAAAATGGAGGAAATGGAATAATGGGGTGGTGGAACTTGGTGGGAAAGGACCTTGGCATTAGCTCTGATGGAGAATCTTCCAGTGGGATGGATAGAATGACAAACAGGACACAGGAATGTGCCTTGGGAATGTGCCCTGGATGTCTCATAAACCTTGGTGGGGTTTAACTTCAGAGACTCAGGAGAGAGCTGGGAATGTTCACCTGGGGAAGGGAAGGACCCAGGGAGAGCAGGGGCAAGGCCAGGAGGGGTTTTATCCTTGTTTTTTTGTGGAAGAATTAATCAGGAAATTGCAGCACTCTGGGCTTTAAGGTTGGAGTTAAATCCCTTTAAATCAGTGGCTCCAAGCTCCTCCTATTATTTAAATAATGGCTTGGGATTTTTGTTTGATTTGATTCTGGTCTTCAGAATAAAAAGAGAAAAAAGAAACCCCACAAACAAAATAAACCAAGCAAAAGAAACTTCCACGGATCAGCATGGAAGAGCTGCTCTGAGCACACCCGGGATGCTCCAGCTGTTCCCAGCCCCCTCCAGCGCTTTCATCCAAGACCAAATTAATTATCTGGAGTACCCGGATCTGCTGAGCTCATCTGGGACGTCCACGAGCACGGGAGGTCGCAGTGACCACTCCGAGCCCCAGACACTGGATACTGGGAAGGAATTCCTGGCTGGGAGGGTGGGGAGGGGCTGGGCTGGAATTCCCAGAGCAGCTGTGGCTGCCCCTGGGTCCCTGGCAGTGCCCAAGGCTCGAGGGGGTTTGGAGCAGCCTGGGACAGTGGGAGGTGTCCCTGCCATGGCAGGGCTGGGAATGGATGGGATGGGCTTCGAGGTCTCTCCCAGTCCAAAGCATTCCATAGCGGGTTTGGAGCAGCCTGGGACAGTGGGAGGTGTCCCTGCCATGGCAGGGGTGGGATGGGATGGGCTTCGAGCTCTCTCGCAGTCCAAAGCATTCCATAGTTCCAGGCCTGCTGCTGCTGCAGGATCCAGTGGGAACACGAGCAGGGCAGGTGGGACCAGCCCCGGCTGGAAGGGGCAGATCCCGGGGTGGGAAGGAGGGGATGGAGGAAGGTTCCTCTCCCAGGAGGAACCAGCCCTCCCAGCAAACCGGGAACAGAGCTGGGAGCAAACCTGGGGACAGACCTGGGAGCAGACCTAGGAACAAACCCGGGAACAGAGCTGGGAGCAAACCCACCTGGGAACAAACCTGGGAACAGAGCTGGGAACAAATCTGGGGACAGAGCTGGGAGCAAACCCACCTGGGAACAAACCTGGGAACAGAGCTGGGAACAGACCTAGGAACAAACCTGGGGACAGAGCTGGGAACAGAGCTGGGAACAAACCTGGGGACAGAGCTGGGGACACGCAGAGGTTCCTGGCCCCTCCAAGGCTCGGTGACAGCAGCCAGGACAGTTTGTCCTTCATTTCCACGAAACTGCTGGATGACCTCAGCTCCGGAGGGAGAGGAGCCGCTCACGGTGGAGATCCCTGGTGCCAAAACCTCATTCCTCATCCACATACAAATGAATCCCACTGGAAGGAAGCAGCTGCGCTTTCCAGGGGCTGCGCAAGGCTGGGGGGAAGGAGGGGGGAATTAAAGCCGCTCCGAAATGTCAGGAACTGGGAGGAGTGTTTAACATCAGCACCTTATCGCAGCCCCTCAGTGCCTGCTCAGCTTTCCAGCCGGCTGGAAGTGCTTTCCTGGCCCCTTTTGCTGCCTTCAGGAAGACCGGGAATCCTTCCAAGGCAGGTCCTGGGGACTGCAGTTCCCCTGGAGCCAAATTCCAGTTAAAGGCTGCGGCACGGAGTTAATGGAGGTTTTTGTGTTCCCCTGGGGGTTGTGTTAAATCCCCTCCAGACACGCAAAGGACAATGATAATTTGGGAATGAAATGGGAAACGTTGGCTGCGCCCTCGCTTCCCTCGGGTTTGGAGCTGCTCCATGGAAGCGGTCGAAGGCGGTGACAGTGACAGGGATGAGGAGCTGGGAAAGCAGCTGGGGATTTAAAAGGTGCAAGAGCTACAGGAAAAATCGGGAATCCCAAACGTCAGGGAGGCTCTGCCTGCTCCAGAATCCCTGCTGGGATCTCTCGGAGTGAGGGAAGCCCGTGGCTGCTCCTGCCTGTGCTGGGGCCGGGGGAGCAGCCGGGTTCCCCTCCCCAGACAAGGGGATTTTTTGGGTGCCAGTTTTGCTGCTGCATTCCCCAGACGCCAAGGGGATCCCGTGGGAGCCAAGACATCCCGGGATCCAGCGAAAAAGCCCTTTCCTGGGGAGCCCCTGGGTCCGTGGCGGCAGAGAGGAGCAGGGGGAGCTTTGGTGGTGGGAGGTTGCGAAACAACTTCCTGTTTACTTCTCTCTTTTCTCAGTTAAATGCAGACTGCTCCTGAAATGTCCCTTGTGCCCTGTCCCTGTCCCCTGTCATCCCTTTCCTTCACCCTCAGAGCCTGCAGCCGTCCCGGCTCAGGATCCCTGCGGCTGGAAAAGGCCGCTGCCCCGGCTCCTCAATGGCATTTAATCCTTGGAGTTGATTAAAGCGCTCCATTAACAGCAAATTAGGGACTAATGGGAATAATGGCTGCGCTCAGGGAGTAATTCCAGGGAGAGGGGACGGCACCGAACGAGCTCTAATCCCTCGTTTTGCCGGAGAGGGGAAGGATTTGGGTTTATCCTGGGGTTCTTTTTAGCTGGAAGTCTCAGCTCTAAGGAACTGATCCCAGGTGGGGCCAAGCAGTGAAACTCGGCGGGGTTTTTATCCTGCCTGGTGAAAAACAGCTGCAGTGAGTGGGAAAGTGTTGGGTGGGGCTTGGGAAAACCTGGGATAGCAGAGGGTCCCTGCCCATGGAACTGGAACAGTTCTAAGGTCCTTTCCAGTCCAAACCATTCCATCATTCCAGGACAACATTCCATGGTTCTCTCAGTGCTTGGGGCTCCAGATGTGGGTAGGCTGCGTTTCAGCAGAGCAAGGATTTCTCCACATCCCAGAGGGGAGGGGACTCGTGGAATATCCTTTCCATGGCTCCCAGCAGAGCTCTGCTCTCCAGAGCAGCCTAAAAAGGACCTCAAAGGACTCATTTCCTCACGCTGTGCCTGGGGAAACTGAGGCAGGGCAGGCTGGGCGAGGCACAAGCCCCACTTTGAGGTTGTTTTCTTGTCCCTTTGGGTTCTCCAGTTCCCCAAAGCTTCCTGTGCACTCCTCATCTGACCCCAATAAACACTCCCTGTCTGGCCAATCCCACAGCACAAGGCTGGCCTAAGGAAGACTTGATTTTTTTCCTTTTTTTTCCCCCCAATTTCCTTTATTTATTCTTTTCATCTTTGAGCCTTAAACATTTGGGCTTTGTTTGGGTTTTTGGGGCTGGGCCCTCCCTAGTCCCAGAAAGGGCCCCAAACCAAAGCCAAACAAACCTTGATCCCTGCAGGGGCCATTCCTGAAGGGCTGGACTGGATGATCCCTGTGGGTCCTTTCCAATCTGGAATATTCCATGGCTCTAACTGGATGGGAACTCAAAAGCTGAATTATGAGGAAAAATTGGATTTTTCAGGCAGTTTTCCTTGTGAAATAGCCCCAAAATCTGCAGCCCCTCATGCCTGCTCCTGCTGGGAAGGGGCTGTTGTTCCCTGGGAGGAACATTCCAGGGATTTCATGTCCAGGGAACAAGCTGCTCCTCCTTTCTGCTTCCCACAGGGATCCTTGGGATGATGGCACAGGACCATGACAGGGCCGGGTTCCACCTCCCTCCAAAATTCCAGATCATAGAATCCCAGGCTTGGGTGGGAAGGGGCCTTAAACTTATCCCTGATGGGAGTTTTTAGGGGTGTGGGGGTGAAGGAAGGATTCATCCTTTAAGGATGCTGGTGGATTTATCCTGGAGGAGGGAAAGGAGGGACAGCAAACATTTGGGATGCAGAGGTTGTGCTTTGGCTCCAAAGTGATTTAGCTGGAATCTGGTTTAGGTTATTTGCAGGAAAAGCTTTCCCTCAGATCCTGCCCAGCTCTCCTGGAGCAGGGGGGAATAATTCCCAGCCATCCATCACCTGAGATGAAGGAAAACATTTTGGACTGCCAGAGCCTTTCAAGGAAGCCACCTGGATGTCCCCAAGTCCAGCCTGCTTAAGCTCAGCACAAACTGTCAGCGCAGGTTGAACGAGATTTATTTGGCAAATTCTCCAGCACTCACCAGAATCCAACACATCCAACGGCTCCCAAAACCTCCAGGAGACCTGGACACTCATCTGCCTTCCCCCTCCTGCTCCCACAGCCCTGGGAAGGAGGCCCAGAGGTCTCTCTGTGGTCAGAACACAGCAGCTGCAGTTGCTAAACTGAGCCCAAACCCTTGTTTTGTTAAACCCCTCCTAAACAAAGCATCCAGGCTGCAGTTTCTGCACCAGGAATTGGAAAACTCCCCTGCTCTCCAGTGGTTTTTCCCAGTGCTGGCCTCCCATGTTGTTAAAGGCAGTTTTGAGTTTTGGGGGTTTATTTTTAAAATTAATAAGATTTTGGTCAGGTTGGAGGGAGCTTGGAGCAGGCTGGGATGGTGGAAGTTGTCCCTGTTTCTGGCAGGGGGTGGGGCTGGACTGGATGAGCTTTAAGGTCCTTTCCAAGCCAAACCATTCCCTGGTTATTTGAGAGAGGAAGAGGATGGTTCCAACTTCCAGCTGCTTCTCCCCTTTCAATGCTCCTCCATCACCAAATCCTTTCTATTTCAACATTCCATCAAATCCCTTGGATTTTTGTGGCAGGATGGGATTTCAGGACTGGAAATGGGATTTTTGTGTCCCCCTCTAACGCCCACAGGAGCCTCCTTGTCCTCATCCCCATCCCATGGGATTGAGATGCTCCATGAGGTGGGAGAGCTCAGCTTTGGGACTCCTCTGCCTCCAAAGAGTGCCCCTGGAGAGGGGCTGGAGCCAGGCCGAGGACACAAAGTGTTTCCAGATGTTCTGCAGGGTGGCAGAAGTGCCTGATGGAGACAGATGGGATTTGGCTTTTCCTTAAGCTCGGTTTTTGTGAGGAGCAACCGGCAATTTGTGGGCAGGTGCCTGCCTGGGAAGGCAGAGCCAGCCCCGGCTCCTGCTCTGCCTCCCTCCCACCAGGGGTTTTATTTTGGGATGGAGGCTTTTCCAGGAATCTGGAAATGAGAGACTGGGTTGCGCTGCCCCTCGGAGGGAAGCCGGGAGCTCTGTAGGGGAATGTTCCCGGTGTGTGCTGAGCTCCGGGGAGGGGCAGGCGCCTTCCCAGGGACCCACACGGGATCTGGATGCCCCCTGGGACCTCATTACCTTAAAACCCATCTCAAACCCATCCCAAACCCATCCCAGACCTCAGCTCTCGTTCCCAGCAGGATGAGAAGGGCTGCTGAGTCCTCAGGGCGGGGCAGATTTCAATAATCCAGGGAATCCCTGCCGGCCCCGGTTTTCCCAGACAAGGTGGATAATCCCCCCTGGCACGTGCCAGCCACCGCTGCTCCAGGTGTGCTCTGCCCACGTGCCCACCCTCGGGGTGCCAGCATTCCCAGGGATGAGCTGGGGCATCCCAAACCTCTCCCGGTGGGTGGGGAGGATCTCGGGATGGAGCTCCTGGAAAAGAGCGGGATGCTGCCACCAGCAGCACCTGGAGCTTGCTTTAACCTGGCTTGCACTGGCAGAAAGCTGAAGAGCAGCGTCCTGTCCTCTTGGTGGGAAGGGAAAAAAAACACCTCCAAGTCCAAATCCAGCAGGGAGGGAGCTGGACAAGGCTGGATTTTCCCTAGGGACAGCCTGGGGGTGGGAGGTGCTCGGGTGGACTACAAGGACAGAACCAGCAGAGCAGCTCTGGGTGATTTGGACAAGGCCAAGGGATGGCCCAGCAGGAGCTCGGGGTCTGGGAATCACAGAAATGTGGGAATATTCTCAGGAAAACCAGGCAGCATCAGGGAATTGGTTCTCCACTGTCTCCCTGAGGCCTTGAGAGCTCCCAGCTCACTCCAGCCTTTCCCTGTCTGGTTTTTCCCAGCTTGCCAGGATTGTTCAGAGGAGGAGACCTCCATGAGATGCTTTTCCATGCAACCATTTCCCAGCAAATTCCATCTTATTTGATCCAAGGTCTTTCCTGGGGATCAATGAGCCAGGTTCTCTGCCCAGCCATGACAAGAATACTTTTCCTATAAATAAATACCATGCAAGGAAAAGAAACAACCCCAAATCGGGTGTATTTTTGTGGAGATGGATCTCAACAAAAGGATTTTTTCATGAAGTCTCGGTTTCCAGGAAAGCCATCGGGCTCTGGAAGGATTCAGGAATAACCCATGCTCGTGTTTCCTGTGGGGGATCAGCCCTGATCCCAGAACCTGCCACATCAAAACCCCTGGAATGGTGACTCTGCCATTCTGGTTTCTCCCTCAGGCAAAAATTCCTCCTCCCAGGAGATCAATTTTTCAGCCCAGTTCCAGTGGGGAAAAACATCAAAAGAGCCTCATTTCCCACAAGACAGCAATTTCTTTTCCCAATCCTATTTAGGAAAATCTCGAGTTCAAAAAGATAAAGCAAATATGGAATGCAGGTCCCCTCCCCCTTTATTTAAAGGTTTTCTTTGTGTGCACACACAGCTCAAGTTCCTTTTTCTTGTCTTTTTTAAAGCCTGTTGTCATTTCCTCTTCCAAAGGTTGTTGGAATGAGGAACAGGACCATGACAAATGTCAAAATACCATTTTTGCCTTCCCCTTCTTCAGGAGAGAGGGAGAACCAGTTTGAAACTTCTGCTGGCCCCAGAGCCCTCCCTCCTCTCTAGGAAGGAGCTGCAAACCTTCCTCCCACATGAATGCCAAGCAGGAACAGCCCCTTGGAAGCTGTCCAGCTGGGGAGGAGATCCTGCTCCAGGAGCTTCACAGGGGCTGGGGTGGGTGGTGGGAGCAGGGATGGAGGGTGGAGGAGCAGGGATGGGTGGTGGGAGCAGGGATGGAGGGAGGAGCAGGGATGGAGAGTGCAGGAGCAGGGATGGAGGGTGGGTGCCAGGGATGGATGATGGGTGCCTTGGGTGGATGGTGGATGTCAGGAATGGGTGGTGGGTGCCAGGAATGGGTGGCAGAGAACCAGGGGACAGGCACAGGCAGCAGACAGGGACATCAGGGACATCAGGCTCATCTCCCCTGCAGGCTGAGGCCATGTGCCGGAGCTGGGGCTGGGCATCACCCAGGGCTGGGCTTGGGGATTTGCTGTCCTGGGGTCCTGCCCAGCAGGCACAGGAGGGGCAAAGCAGGGCACAGAGGCTCCGATAACTCTGTGTTCCTTTACCCCCCACCAAACCTCCCCTCTCCTCTGCCAGCTGGGCACGTGGGCACGCGGCCACTCCGGGCTGTCCCTTTATTCTGCATCGCCCAGTGGGGGAGAGCAGCAGCAGCTCCAGCCCCAGGAGGGCCTGGACAGCTGGGATTGGAGACACCTCATGGGAGATCACCAAAATGGCCACAATTCCCTTTGCTGGGTGAAGTTGTGGCCTGACCACCACAGGAGCATTCCAACCTCATCCCCGTGATTCCCGTTGTGCTCCCAAGAAAAAATGAAGGGACTTTTTGGCTGACAAGGCTCCAAGGAGCTGGAGATCTGTATAAGTATTTTACACCACCGAGCACATCAAGCCTTCCCCGCTCCCCCCCACCTCCCTCACAGAACATCTGCCCCTCCCACCCTCCCCAAAATCCCCCCAAAATCCCACCCGAGGCATCCCGGAGCCGTGGCGATATCTCAGCTCAGAGCTGCGAGCACAGGGGGAGCCTCTCCCCTTCCCAAGCGCTGCCAGTCTCAGGCTAAGCTGCTTACAGGGCTCCTGCCAACCCAGCCGTGCTGCCAGGCTGCCACTTCCCAACCCCCACCCCCTCCCTGGTTCTGCTTCCCACCTTTCCCATGTCTTTATCCCAAGGATTTCTCTCTGAACCCTCTTGGCAGGTCCTGGTGTGTGCAGCAGGATCCCGTGGAGCTGCACAGGACAGAGAGCCCAGTCCAGTGTCCAAGCCCATCCAGCTGCAGGAATGCCAGCCCAGAGCAGCGTCCAGTGTGTCCCACCCCTCCCACCCAGCCCACATCCACAGCAGTGTCCGAGTCCACACATCCAGGGAGGGTTGGGAGCGACCGCAGAAGTCACAGAGAGGGAGGAAGGTTGGTGGTCAGCAGCTGCTACAAGGAAGAGCTGGGCAGGTTCAACGTGGAGCAAGGAGGAGGGAAAAAACCCAAGAACCAACTGAAAAGCAGGCAAAGGGAGGACGCCGGGATTCGGGGATGGATCTCTACCTTCTAGGCCACAGCCAGCATGGGACGGGAAAGGGACAGTCAGCGGTTGGTTGGCGGAGGGTTGGTTTTGTGTCACTCACGATAGAAAACATATTCGGTGTAAGAGGTCCAGATCCTGTCGTCCGTCTGCTCGTGGGCGAAGGCACAGGTGCCCGTGGAGTTGCAGGCCACCATGTGGAAGCCGGCATCGGCCAGTTTGTCAAAGGCTTGCTCCAGGAAGGTGAATTTGAGGTAGTACCTGGACGTGTACCTCTCCGGGGGCCTGTCCGGGTCCCTGCTCTCGTTCAAGGTGTCCCCAAAGACCTCCTTGGCCAGCGAGGTCTTGCCGCACACCATGATCCGGGCCACCCTGCGGAACTTGGCGTCCGTCTGGCTGTCCCTGCCCAGCGTGTAGGAGCCGCGGTAGCCGATGGTGATGAACCCCGCCCTGCGGCCCTCGGTGCCGGCGGCGCCGGGCGGCGCGGCGGCGGCCGAGCTCAGGCTGCGCGCGGTGTCCGCACCGGGGGACGGCTCCTCGGGGTCGCTCTGGCAGGGATCGTCCCCCAGGGAGTTCTGCTCGCTGAGCTTGGGCACCAGCAGCTTCACCAGCTCCGGCAGCATGAAGTACTCGGCCTCGCGCTGCAGCCGGCCGCGCTCCGGGAAGTGCTCGGGCAGCACCAGCTGCCGGTCCCTCATGTAATCCAGGATGTAGCGGAACAGGAACCCGTCCCGGTCCACGAAGAAGCGGCCCTTGCTGTCGCGGGCCAGCGAGCGTGCGCTCTTCTGGGTGAACATCTCCCAGAGCAGCGAGCCGGGCACGCTGACCAGCGTGGGGTGCCGGGTGATGTACACCTGTCCCCCCACGTTCAGCTCGATGATGTCAGGGAAGGGGTTGCTGTCCTCGCTGCCTTTGGCACAGCTCGCGGGGTCTGCCAGGGCCATGGTGAACTCCCGCTGCTCCCTCCTGCAGCACAAACAGGTCAAAACTATGTTAGAACTGCCAGAAAACACAGACCACTGCCCTGCTTCCAGCTGACTGCAGGGCATCCCAAGGGGCCCCAAGCCATTGCCCCAGTCCCAGGTGATTGGAAACGATCCCAAGCCAGATCACACATGGAATCACAGAATTGTTTAGATTGGAAAAGCTCTCTAAGATCACAGAGTCCAACCCAGCACTGCCAACCCACCACTAAATGCCTGGTTTGGGTCAGCAGGCAGGGTAGGACCAGATCCTTGTCTCTCCAGGAGTCTGGAAATCATCTCTCTTCCCCAGTCCCTGGCTCCTGGAACAAGCAGCATTATCCAAAGCCACCTCCCCTACCACGGCACACAGCCCGTGGTCTGACCGTGCCATCTCCCTTGTTTAGATTGGAAAAGCTCTCTAAGATCACAGAGTCCAACCCAGCACTGCCAACCCACCACTAAATGCCTGGTTTGGGTCAGCAGGCAGGGTAGGACCAGATCCTTGTCTCTCCAGGAGTCTGGAAATCATCTCTCTTCCCCAGTCCCTGGCTCCTGGAACAAGCAGCATTATCCAAAGCCACCTCCCCTACCACGGCACACAGCCCGTGGTGCCATCTCCACCTGAGCTCTCCAGGCAGCAGAAGGCTTGGTTCCTCTGCCCAGGAAGGTGCAGGGACGTGGGGCTGCTGTCAACAACAGGAAAGGCAGGGCTGTCACACCCTGGGGACCCGCCAGCCCGGCATCCTGCGGGCAGGAGCAGCTGCCGAGGGAGGAGTTCCCAGCACAGGGGCCCCGCCAAGCCGGGGCTGGAGGGGTTGTGGTGCCACACAAAGAGCACCCTAGGGCTGGGGAAAAGCGGCACCAGCTCCCTGAAGGACAGAGGGACAGAGCCTTTTGGCACTCCTGCTCTGTCCTTGCTCCTGGAAAGTGCTCAACACGGACTCACAGCCAAGCTGGGAGATGGCAGAACCTCTCCAAGGGGCTGGGAGCAAGACAAATCCTCGGCTGCTGCTACAGCAATTGCTCCGTGGCAGATGCCACGGATTTATACATTTTCCAAAGGCAAGCCGGTTCTTGGATGTCTCTTGACACTGCAAATCAGCAGCTTACATAAACCTGGCTCAGCAGCCAGAGCCTGGATCCGTGCCGTGGTCTGTACAGGCATTTGGGAGACCACGGAGGGAAGGGGTTCCCTGGGCTGACCCCCAGCTCTGCCCCCTCCCTGGGTGACCTCAGTGCTGCCCTAGGTTTGCTCAGAGATTGGGACCCCCCAGGACTGGTCCCACACCCAAGGAACAGCCCAAGGGCTCGCCCCATCCTCATGTCCTGCCGCAAAGACTCCCAGAAGCTGCTCCAAAGGATCCCAACACAAATTTCGGAGCAACTAAAGGACAAAGACAGAACTCTGTGGGCACTTTCGGGCACGGGGGCAGAGCTGAGCCAACGTTTCACTGCTCCTCCCGGCTCATAGGGAGACTCGCCTTTGAACAAGGAGTGACTTGGGCAACGAAGAGATGGAAGGATGGAAAGAGGATGAGCGCGGTCCCGGCTTCCCGGTCCCCTCCCGCAGCGGCTCTGGCTCCCTTTCCCTAGCGATTCCATGCCCACGGCACAGCCCAGCGGGCAGGAGCCGCCCGTGCCCGGAGCTCGCATCCCTTTGTCACGCTGGAAGGGCTGCCCATGGTGGGCTGGGGGCTCGGGGGGAACGGGCAGAGCGGCCCCACTGTTTCCTTTGCCCGCCCCAGGCGCGGACCCGGCGCTGACAGTGGCGGGGACCAGAGCGGGGACAGCGGCGGGGACAGCCCAGCTCAGCCCCGCAGCCGTCCCGGCGCTCCCCGGCCGGGGGACCCCGACCCCGCCGCCCCCGTTACCTCGGCAGGGCGGCCCGGCCGCTCCGCTGCGCTGCGCTGCGCTCCCCGCCGTGCCGCTCCCGCCGCGCCGCGCCGCTCCCGCCGCTCCTCTCCGCCCGCCCGGCCCTGGCCCCGCCGTTTTATGGCCGGGAAGGCGGCGAGCGCCGTCCCCCGCTGTCCCCGGGACCGCCTCCCTCCCGCCTCCCTCCGCCTCCATCCGACCAGCCCCCACCGTCCCCGCATCCCCGCATCCCTGTTAGCACATCCCGTTCCCTGCATCCCCCCATCATCCCCCGTCCCCCCATCCTCCCCGCTCTGGTACCGAGCAGGACTGACTGGGGAATTCCAGGGGCACCCTCGTCATCGCCTGGGAATGCAGTGAAGCTTGTAAAAAAGGAGGGAAAGGGACTTCTAATGCGGCCAGATGGTGCCAGGACAAGGGGAACAGTTGGAACTAAAAGAATGGGGATTTAGGTGGGATACTGGAAAGAAATTCCTCCCTGTGAGGATGGGCAGGCCCTGGCACAGGGTGCCCGGAGCAGCTGTGGCTGCCCCTGGATCCCTGGAAGTGTCCAAGGCCAGGTTGGACAGGGCTTGGAGCATCCTGGAACAGTGGAAATTGTCCTTGCCCATGGCTGGGGGTCAGATGGCTTTGAGGTTCCTTCCAACCCAAACCATTCAATGATTCCACAATTCCAAACCCAGCCAGCAAAAACCTTACAGCAGCCAAACTCTTGCTACTCCTTGGATGATTTTATATTGTTGAGCTGCAGGGACTGAAAGCCCCTTTCCCAAGGTAGGAATGACACCAGTGGGATCATAAGGAGCTTAGGCGGTTGTGGCAGCCTGTTTGTCCAGGCTGGAAAAACCAAGCAAGGAAAGAAATCCAGCTCTTTTTAGTTTACTTGAAAATTCTGGTTTTATGTAAATCCAGGAAAATATGACAACTCCAAACAACATCCCAATATTCACACGTTTCCTGGAATCCTTTCCATCGAAAGTCCAATGAAGCTTAAATCCCAACATTCTCTGACAGCAGAGCTGGCCTGAGTTCATCCATGAATTTTTGTCCATCTTAAATTTTGTAAGAGCAGAAGATGTGATTTCTTCTTCTTCTACAAATCAAATCCTTGAGTCTGGGCACTCGCATTCAAGGAATTTTCCTGTTTGAGTTTCTCCTTGTTTTTTTTCTTGTATCCCAGGGCTGTTTGATTATTGTCCCATAAATTGCAGGAACTGTCCTGTGGATATTTTGTGGGACATATTTATAGATGGCGGAGACCAATTTGTTGGCTGGATAAATGGATGGATGGATGGATGGATGGATGGATGGATGGATGGATGGATGATACATGGATGGAGGGATGGTGGTTGGATGGATGGATGGATGGATGGATGGATGGATGGATGAATGATACATGGATGGAGGGATGGTGGATGGATGGATGGATGGATGGATGATGGATGGATGATGGATGGAGGGATGAGGGATGGATGGATGGATGGAGGGATGGATGGATGGATGATGGATGGATGATGGATGGAGGGATGAGGGATGGATGGATGGATGGAGGGATGGATGGATGGATGATGGATGGATGATGGATGGAGGGATGAGGGATGGATGGATGGATGGAGGGATGGATGGATGGATGATGGATGGATGATGGATGGAGGGATGAGGGATGGATGGATGGATGGAGGGATGGATGGATGGATGATGGATGGATGATGGATGGAGGGATGAGGGATGGATGGATGGATGGAGGGATGGATGGATGGATGATGGATGGATGATGGATGGAGGGATGAGGGATGGATGGATGGATGGAGGGATGGATGGATGGATGATGGATGGATGGAGATTTGCTCAGAAGGTACTTGAAGCAGATGGATGATCGATGGATGATGATGGATGGATGATGGATGATGGAGATTTGCTCAAAAGGTGCTTGAAACTTCTTTGAAATTGGCTTGGGGGAAAATTTAGCCACCATGGGCCTGTTTGATTTTTGGGGTTGCAATACAATCCAGTATGGTTTTGTCCCATTTTTCTGGAGCTCTGATCCAATGTAACTGCAAGTTCATAAAAAAATTCCCAGGGAATTTTCAGGTGTGTTGCCTCACAACTCCCTGTCTCAGGGAGACGCTGTGACCCCAGCCATGATCCAAGTTACTGACCCAACCCAGTGCCTCCATCCTGGGCAGCTGTGCCACGACTTGGCAATGAAGAAATTATTCCTAAAATCCAATTTAAACTGATTTATTCTGGAGGCTGTGCTGGGACAGTTGGGATGGGAGCTCAGGACAGGCCCAGTGACAGGAGCAACGATGGCACTTCCTGTTCTTTTTTCCCTTTCCCTTTCCCTTTCCCTTTCCCTTTCCCTTTCCTTTTTCCCAGCTGCCTCTGTGCTTTTTCCTCACGTGCCTGATGCTCATGGGGGACAAAAATTGCACCCAAATTGGTGCAAATATTCCCATGAGCTGATGTGGAAATCATGGAAACTATCGAGGCCAATGCTGATGTGTCCAGAGGCAACTGGGAATGGGATCTCCAGGGAAGGGGAAGATGTTTGGCACCATGGAAGTGACCAGGGGCCTGGAAACTCAGGAGAAGTTGCCAGGAGGTTTTATAAAGCAGCTTTTACAAGTTCTTCCAAGAAAAGTGAAGCAGGAATTTGGGTCCCTCTCTGGCTTCTGAAGACTTCTATCAGCCATAAGAGTGGCAGATGATTCATCCCCATCCCAAGAGAAGGCAGGGAAGGGTTTAATGAGAGTTTGTTTGTGTCCACTCTGGGACTCCACAGAGTGATTGTGAGGAAGCCCTGGATTCACTTCCTGGCTGCTATTCCCATGTTCTCTGAGCTTGGACACAAATCCCTTCACCCCACAGTGTCTCATCCTCCTCGTCCCCCTCCAGAGGGTCCTGCCCACTCCCCAGCACTTCTATAACCCCCTTGTGCTGCCTCAAAACTCCTTGAAAGGTCCTTAAATTTGCATTTTTGAGGAGAGAGGAGTGTTAACTGGAAGTGAGTGTTAACTGGAGTGTTAACTGGAAACTCAAATGTTTCCATTGCCTGATTTTTCCTCAGCTAAAAGCCCCAAAATACAATAAATTGATTGTGAGCCATTCTGGGATGAGGATCCTGTGACCCACCACATTGTAAGGATGCTGCCCCAGAGCCCTGATGCTGCTCCATCCATTCCTTGTCCAGAGATAACACAGGGAATTGCCTGTGGAGGCAGGAATATTTACCAGAGGAAAAATCCCCTAATTCATGGGTGTCAGAAGGGTCCACACAGAGGTTCAGATTCCTCGGTGCCACAGCTGTGATTCATGAGCCAGGACTGGAGGCAGGAATCTTTCATCCTTAAACAAAGTAGAGCTAAAAAGTCCTAAAAAGGCAACAGAATCCCTGAGTGCCAGACTCCTGTGGGGCACGGAATTATTTTTAGGACATTTGGGGCACTGCATTATTTTTATAGGTTTGGGGCACTGAATTATTTGTAATCCCTTCAGGGTCTTCTGGCTGTACGTCCACCAGTGGGAAAACCCCCCTTTGAAGCATCCCTGCTCCTCGTGGTGCTCCCAGCTCTGTCTCCCTCTTCCCCACCCTCATTCCCCCTTCATTCTCCCCCCGTGCAGGGTTTTCCTCTCTGCGGTTAATTAAAACCCCACCCTGGGTTTGGGGTGAGAAGAGCTCCGGCCTGAAGGGGCTCTCAGCCTCGAATCACTGGCCCCGTGCAGGCTCCCAGATTCCCAAAATCCGCAGGAAACTCCCCCCAGCATCCTCAGACCCCATCTTTTTCTCTTTCCTTCCACCTGGCTCCTCCCGGAGCCGCCAGCTCTGCCGGCAGCGCGGAGCTCTGGGCGCCTGAGGCAGGGGAGAAGCGACAGCAGCGACGTCCCCGCTGTGGCTGTGCCCGAGCCACCCCCGCGCCTCCACCGAGCTCCTGGAAGCTCCAGCCGCTGCCTGCTTCTATAAAAAGGGGTTAATCTGCTTCTGCCCGGAGCTCAGGTGGCTTTGCAGCCCTGGGGAGCAGCGGCCACAGCCGTCTGACCGCGGCGGGTCGGAGCTCCCTCAATAATTCACGGAGCCGTCTGATCCGCGCCGCTTTTAGCAGCGGCTGCCGCGCCGCGGTTGTCGCGGCCCTTTGGTGACAGATCGGGTTGGACAAGGCAGGAAAAAAGCTCTGCTTAGCGGTGCGCTTTAATTGGCTCCTCATTAGGGGAGCGCGGCGGGCAGCGCTGCCCGGCAGGGCTGGAAGCTCCTCCCGAGGGAGCCCGGGCTCGGGGGCATCACCACGGGAGGGTTTTCTGCCATGCTCTGATGGGACCAGAATTGTCACCATGAGGATGATGGAAATGCTGTGTGTCAGGGACCTGCTTCCATCCTGGATTTACCAAGAGAAATAAAGGAGAGTCCATCCATCCCACCTCATCCCTGGATGGACACTTTGGAACTGCTCGTCCCTGAAGCAGAGATGCCTCACCCAGACCTTTCCTTGTGGCCTCTTCCAAGCTGGGCAATTAAAATCCTGATTAAGAAGCACTGACACCTCTGGATTTCAGGCCAGAGCTGTGAGCTGGAGCAGGGTTGGGAATATTTCAGCCTCAGAGGGAAAGGGTTGACGAATGGCCAGAGCAGGAACACCTCCTGAAAAGCAGTGCAGAGTCAGAGGGATGTAGGACACCAAGGCCTCCCATTTTCTCTGCCTTGCACTATCTGCCAGCATTCTGGAGGATTTTATTCCTCCAAGGGAATTCTCCTCCCAGGAGAAGAATTCTGAATTCTGCTCCCAGAACAGGAGAGCCCAGTGAGTCCAGCCTTTCCCTGTCCCATGACCTTTGCCCTCTCACTCCCCTGTGGGTGCTTGGGTCCTCTGCAGGATCCAGGAAAAGCTCCAGCAAACCAAAATGAACAGGTTAAAAAAAACTTGTGCAAAGCCCACGGGATTTCTGGGATGTGGATCATCCCCACAGAGAGCTGGGAACTACCTGGGCTACCAA